AACTGAAATTAAATTCAAACTTTTTGCTTATGCAAAAATGTGTAACCCCATGTTATTTATCAAGCAAGAATGTTTTTCTTCTAAGGGGAAGTCTGTGCTAGATAGTTAGAATAAGATTTTAGCTTCTGCCTCACTTAGTTGTATATTTGTTAATTCATCAGTCCTATTGAGTAAATCAGCCAGTCTTGAAAATGGATTGTGCCAAGAATAGGGATCTAAAATAGGTTCAGGACAAAGAATCAATGTGAGAATTTCAAACAGTATCAGAGGAAAATTATAAGTGTTATGATGAAAAAGAATAAAAATTAGAAAAGGTGAGTAAAGCTTTAGTAAAACCTCTAAAGAGACATTAAAGAGTTTAAAACTTTGTCTTCCCCTTTTTGTGCATCCCTTCTAGAGCATGCATCCCTTCTAGAGCATGCATGGTGCTAATCATGACCCTGTACTCATAAAACTGCCCAGGATTTGAAAGTGATAATAATTAGACTCTCAGTAGCATTCATGGGTTTGGAAGGAAGATCCAAGTAGGTCTCATGTGGGAAAGCTTAACAAAAGATATTTTATTTTTGGATTTTAGATTCCTCCCCACTCTCCCACTCCCTTCTTCCACCCTCTCATGCCCATGGAATTGTACTTCTAGAGGAGAAAGCCATCATCTAAGCTGATTTCCAGTCAGGTTGTGAACAACAAATAGATTTTAATAAGAACAATTGACCTTAGTCCTGAAAGGAGTCAGTGTCCTTCAGGAGGTGCTGCAACTGTGTGCACAGCGCCCCCTGGTGACCAGACACTGGCTTTTCATTGTGGCAGGAGAAGAGAGTCTCCAAGAAAGACAGGGTGTTTAGTTTCCAGTTGTATTTTCTGAGACCCTGTTGGCCCCGCCAAAAGAGTTCCTGATAACAACTCACTTTTGGAGATACTTTTCAGAGAAAGAGTTTGCAGAATCTCCCGTTTCCATTTTTAACCCAGACTTTTTCTTTTTCACTACTTCCACATGTAATTGTAAAGTTATTTCTATTAGCATATTCAATGGCAGGGACCAAATGGGGCCACAAATGACGTGAAAGGTATGCTTTCAGGTATCCAATATGGAGAAAATTAATACATACAAATATGGAACAACTAGTTAAAAACATAATGTAACATATGTTGAAATGTTAAGTGGCCTAAAGTAAGTTATTTGTGTTCTGGGCAGGCAGAAATCAGTGATGATTAGAAAGTATTTTACATATGTATTTATTTAATCCTATCTCATCTTGTTCTACAAAGAATTCAAGAGCATATATATTCAATATGATAAGATAAAAGAAAGTTGTAAGGTAATCAGGGCAACTGGAGAAATAAAGGGAACCATTCAAAAGAAAAAAAGGAAGGCCTGGGTACAGTATTTAGGGAAGAAGAGATGTTTAGAATATACTGATTCAAACGTAGAGAGGAGTGTTCAGTGGAGTCTAGGCGACACTTGTGGGGTATTCTCTCAAGGGACTGAAGCATCGGCTAGCAATTGAACCAGATGACTTCCCGTCTGGCCCCAATGCATGAACAAAGCATTTATTGAGAGATTATGATGTGTGTATCACTGTCAGTTCTACTGGAATGCTGTAAAAGAGCTTTGAGACTGGGTTCCTGCTCTTGAGGGGTTTATAACTTTTACCCTGAAAATAAGACCAACATGCGTTTAGTAATTAGAGAATTATTCAAAGCAGTCTCCCATTAGATGTTAAGTTGTGGGGTACGTAGTATAAATTCCTAGGGTATTTGGGAATATTTCATGAAGGAAGAACTTGAAGGATATTAGGATTTCAAAGGAGGAAGAGAAGAGAAGAGATCATGTCAATTTGGGAAAATTTCTTTGTAGGAATTTGGACACATTGCTGTATGCTGAGCATGAAGAACTTGGGCTGAGGTTAGGGAGTCAGGAAAAGTCTGGTGTGAAGCTCCTTTTGTAGTTGGCCACCTCCTGACAATTCTCAAAGATGTATAGCACCTCTGGTTGAGGTCAAGTTGATGCTGAGATCCAAGTGGTTCTGATCTGAGGGAGGGAGATGTCACTGGAACGTCATGAGCACTAAGCAATACTGGTGGGAAGGTCAGCCACAGAGCAAGCTTGTACCAAGGTGCATCGGTCCAAAGGAGAAAGGAAAATGAGAACACGAATCATGAGGTGGGGGAACAGACCCAGGTAGAGAGTGATCACACATAAAGACTGATGTTCACCTGTTAATAGATTTTGGTAGCTGTCTAGAAATGACACAAAAGTGAAGGAAGCCGCCACTCTAGGATGAGCTGTGTCATTCAAGCGGAGAAAGAGTTACAGTGGAAGGGGATATTGAGTTACAGCAGGTACTCACTGGGAGAGCTGGGTAAGTGTATGCCTGAGGCAGGGTCTAAAAAGAACAGCGTATAAAATGACGTAAATTAACCTGGAGTATGAGGGTCTGTTGAAAACAAGCCTTACCAGGACAATAAGGAGCATTATTTGTGAGAACATTTTGAGGGCTGCTGACAGGAAAAGAGAATTGAAAAAGAGAAATAAGATAAAGAAAGAGCAGGGGCCGGCCCGGTGGCACAAACGGTTAAGCGCACGCACGCCACTGCGGTGGCCTGGGGTTCGCCGGTTCGGATCCCGGGCGTGCACCGAAGCACCGCTTGTCAAGCGATGCTGTGGCGGCGTCCCATATAAAGTGGAGGAAGATGGGCACGGATGTTAGCCCAGGGCCAGTCTTCCTCAGCAAAAAGAGGGGGATTGGCAGATGTTAGCTCAGGGCTGATCTTCCTCACCAAAAAAAAAAAGAGAGAGAGAGAGAGAGAAAGACAGACCAGAAAAAAATGCGGGGACCAGTAACCTCCAAGGAAGTTTTGCCTCTGACCTTCCTTCCCTCTACCCCCACTGAAGCTTCTTACCCCTTATTGTCCTTGACTTTCTTCTGTCTTAACTCTACCTTCTATTTATCAATTGCTTAATATAGGCTTAGAGGTGGACATTGTTTTCCACAAGGTCTCCCTTGTAAAGGTTCTTCCCCAATTTTAAAATGTCTGTCCTTTTAGAATGTTGTGAAGGAGAAAACTAACACGCCCAAGATTGGAGGCCCAAGATTGGAGGTGAAGATGTATCTGTGGTCTGGCAGGAAAATCCAGAGGACCAAAACAAATACCGTTGGTGCAATTGGTGAAAGGGGCCCTTCTTTAGTCTCTGCTAAATACTAATACTATAGTATTATTGTATTATACTATAGAAATACCAATACTATAGTATTATAGTATTATACAATAGAAATACTAATACTATAGTATTGTAGTATTATACTATAGAAATACTAATACTATAGTATTTCTGTCCTTTCTTGCCCACCTTCCCCTCGGTAGCCCTTGGGTTGTTCCATGAAAGAGAGGGGACGGGGACACTCATACTTTTCTGTCTTTGCTTTTATTCAGAAACATGTAGTTCTTTATTTAAATCTTTCAAAACCCTTACTTATCTAGGTTACTGTCACCTTCTTCGTTTCCTATGTCGTCATCATCTTTATAAGGCAACCTTAGAGGGAGTCTATAGAAAACAGGAGAAAGGAAAGGAGGTGAGGACAATGGTGATCACTGAGCAGGCAATATGTAATATATTTTTTGCCAGAGAGAAGAGGGTAACGTAAAAATTTTGCATTTTGAAATATGTATCGATAGCTGATAAACTCTGTCAAAATCTCAATTTCTAGTCTAGATTCTAAAGCAATTTTTAATTCTGGAGACTTAAACAGGGACATCAGATTCTTATTTTTATTTATTTATTTATTTTTATTGCGGTAACATTGGTCTATAACATCGTATAAATTTCAGGTGTACATCATCATACTTCTATTTCTGCATAGATTACATCATGTTCACCGCCCAAATACTAATTACAATCCATCACCACACACATGTGCCTAATCATCCCTTTTGCCCTCCTCCCTCCTCCCTTCGCCTCTGGTAACCACCAATCCAATCTCTGTCTCTGTGTGTTTGTTTGTTGTGGTTTTTATCTACTACTTATGAATGAGATCATACGGTATTTGACCTTCTCCCTCTGACTTATTTCACTTAGCATAATACCCTCAATGTCCATCCATGTTGTCACAAATGGCTGGATTTCATCGTTTCTTATGGCCAGATTTTTAAATTAAGCACTTAAAAAAGTATCAAGCCAATAATAGATGTGCCTTGTATTCATAATCCTAGCCAGAGAAGCCCGAGTTGCCAGGAATTGGAGGAAAACTTGTAGCTAAATCATTTTTTTTGTTTGTTTTCTTCTAGCTGTGGTATAAAGATAAAATTTAGGAAACATATCTTTCTTTCTCTTTATTGTTTATCATTTTTGTGTATATTTTTTTACTTTGCACTATCATTCACTAATTCCTTTTGTAATTTGAGGATGGGTTGGCTAAAATTTTACCCATATTTGAAAGGCTAGTTATGTATTTTGTTATTTGGATGTTGCAAACATGAGATTCTTGATATTAAATTGGTAAATGAATTCTTGGCAACCTAGTGGTTTGGGTGAATGGGCAAGGATTGTCTCAGTAACCATTTTGCAGACTAGCAGAAGTGAGGGAAGAATCTTAAGAAAGATCATAACCAAAAGGATTTTCTTACTTTGGGAAGAAGAGTTTTTATAGGAAGAATCTTGAATTGCTTCGTATAAGCTTTGGAAGCAAGAGTATTTCATATCTACAGAACTGAAGTGTTTTATTATATAGCTGTAGGTTTGAAATTCTTGAAAGTGCAAAATGCCTTCTCTGTTATGTGTTCAGATACACTAAAAATAAAAAGAAACAAACATAATGAGATATTGTAAAGAAAAGCCAAGTGGATAAGGAAGGAAGGCAAATTGAGAGAAATAAAATGAGTCTTACTTCGCATTTTTAAGATCCATTAACACTTATATTTTGTTTTAGAAGAGAGGTAAAAATGAATATACTTCGACTGATTTTGAAGTTAGTGCTTTACTAGTCATCTTTTTTCCACAGAGCCCACCTGAATGACATTGAAAATATCGTGCCATTTCTTGGTATTGGCATTCTGTATACCTTGAGTGGTCCAGATGTCTCTACAGCCGTCACGCACTTCAGAATCTTTCTTGGAGCACGGATCTACCATACGATTGCATATTTGACACCCCTTCCCCAGCCGAATCGTGCTTTGGCTTTTTTGGTCGGATATGGAGTTACTTTGTCAATGGCTTACAGGTTGCTGAAGAAGATATTGTACCTGTAAGGGATAATCATGCAACTCATCATCCAATTATCTTCCAAGAATTCTGTACTTCCAATTTCTAAGGAATACTTCTTTAGACTTTAACTGGGAGGGGAACAGAGAAATAAAGAATTGGGGAAAACCTATTTTGAATATTAATATTACCAGTATCCTTTATTCTTGTTTGATATTTACACTAGAAATCTAACGTAATTCTTCAGTCTTTTGTCTTATTCTTAAAGTACTGTGTTGTAAATTTTGATTATAATTTGCAACATTCATTCAGCCTTTCATATTTTAAATCCATAAAAAGAGTGATTGTGTATATGATAAACCTATATTTCAGTCTTGCTGAAATGGGCATATGAAATAAAGAATTTAAAGAATAGTTTTATTTGGTTTTAATTTTCACAACTTTTATTTTCAAAAGTTTCAAACCTACAGAAAAGTGAAAAAGTATGAACCTCTATCTATCTTTTACCTAGATTTACTAATTGCTAACATTTTGCTGTGTTTCCTTTAGCTCTATCACTTAATGTTTTTTCTGGACAATTTGAAAGTACATTACAGATATCATGATACTTCACTCCTAAATACTTTGACATGTACCTCCTATGAACAAGACAGTCTCCAAATAACCACAAATAACCACCGTTACCACACCCAAGAATTTTAACATTAATACAATAATATTATTTAGTATATATATAGTTCATATTTAAATTCGCCCAATTTTTCAATAATGTCCTTTATAACTGTTTTATTTTTGATCCAAGAATCAAACAAGGACCACACACTGCATTTTGTTATCATTTCTATTTAGTTTTCAATAAAATGGAAGAGTTCTTTCACTTTCTTCCTTTTGTTTTTGTCTTTTGTGACATTGACATTTTTTGAAGTGTATAGGCTGATTGTTTTACAGAATGACCCTTAATCTGGATTTGTTTTGTCTATTATTTTTTCATTCTTAGATTCAGATTAGACATTTTCAGTGATGTTGTGTCCTTCACATTACAACACATTAATAGGCATGTGATGTCAACTTGTCCCATTATTGGTGATGTTAAATGTGATCAATTTAGTATCAACCAGATTTGTCCATTGTAAAGGTATCTTTTTATCTTTGTAATCTTATATGGAGTGCTAAATTGAGACTGTGAAAATCCTGTTCTCCTACAAACTTTCATCCAATGGGTTTAGCATCAAATGATGCTCAGTTTTGTTTCTACATAAAAATATATAAACATAAAAATGTGTAAAATGTATATAAGTATACAGACCTATGAATGCTTATTAAATCCACATGAATTTAGATTATTTTGTCTTAAATAGAATTATATGTACTTAAATCTTTATAATAAAGGATGAACTTTTAAAATATCAATATTTTTCTCACACTTGCCATCCAATTTATGTTATTAGTTTTCCTTTCTATCTCTTGGTTAGTCTTAATTTTAAATATGTATTTCTTTTTTTTTTTTTTAAAGATTTTATTTATTTATTTTCCCCCCAAAGCCCCAGTAGATAGTTGTATGTCATAGCTGCACATCCTTCTAGTTGCTGTATGTGGGACACGGCCTCAGCATGGCCGGAGAAGCAGTGCATCGGTGCGCGGCCGGGATCCAAACCCGGGCCGCCAGCAGCGGAGCGTGCGCACTTAACCGCTAAGCCACGGGGCCGGCCCTGTATTTCTTAAATAGTGTTTTTAGTGGCTTTCATGTTGTTCCATAGGGTTTACCACACAAGAGAAAAGTCATTGTGTAATATTTTAGGTTTCATAATTTGAGCAACTCTTAAGTCCATAAACTAAACCTTTTGGACAATCAACTATGAAGAATTCTGTACAAGTTTCTCTTTACTTCTTTTCCTAATGTTAAAAGCTGCTTTGCATATCCTGGTCTTGGCTTCAGGAAAACTTTGTGATGTAATTAATGGAAAAGACCATGAGCTCAGATGTGAAAAGTCCAAAATTCAAGGATTGTATCTGCCTGCATCAGCACATGTGTGCACACATACACACTCACACAAACACACATACACACACTCCCTGTTCTCTGGATTTGGGCAACCTACTTACCCTATCTGATCTGTAGTTTCCTCAAACTTTTTATGAGGTTGTTTGAAGGTCAAATGATCTATGTATGTGAAGCATATGAAAAAAGTATGTTCTAAACAATAAAGTGTTCTCCATGTGTAAATTATTTGAGGCATCTATCAATCATAAAGATTCAGTTCGCTGAGTTTTTCCTAGCTGTGTATGAAATATTTGTTTAACCTTCATAACTTCTTTCATTGTTTTCTTAAAATTTCTACATTCCTGGTAACTTTTTTGTGGTTATTGTAATGGTTAGCCATTTAGCTACTAATAATTCATATCCATTACTAGATAGCTATCAGGAATAAAGGACATGTAAGTTTTATATTCTTAGAGATATAACAACTATGTATATGCACAGAACATGCTTAAGGAAAAATGAAAAAGTCTAGAGATTACCTACTTCAATTTCCAAGTTTGAATAATAGTGGTAAAGACAAAATGTTTCTAACTGTATTTTCACTCACAAAAGAAGCCGTAGTTGTTGGGGGATTTAGTAGCGAAAATTTTAACCAGAGAGGGTGGATGAAGGGGAAGAATATTTACTGGTGTAGCAGCATCTCCTGCATCAAGGAATGCCCTCCTGACCACATGACAGACTGGTCTATAGAGTGAAGTCTGTGTGGTAAGTGACTTTAACCTGTGATGGGACAGACTTGGAGAAGAGATTGCACAGTTGACATTAACACTGTTACCTGTGAGGGGTACAATGGATATGCTCATGTTTCTGCCACTTACTAGCAACTCTTTCAAAGCAAGGATGATATTTTATTTGTCTTTGTATATGTATTCTCATTTATGTACAGAGAGATACACATATGCATTCACGCAAACACACACACTCTCACCACAGTCACACACACTCCACACTCACCACATACACACGTGTGTGCGCACACACACATACATACACCCACAGAGTCAGTACCACCAACATCACCAATACTAACCATTATAGATACTTAGTAAGTAGGTAGCACATTACTTCTTCAAATTTCACCATCTCCCTTCACTCATGCCTTGCTTTCTCTTCACTTGCCCTAAACCAACTATATCATAAGTAAAGCAAGATCCTTCTGCAGAAATCAGAAGATATTTGCTGTAATTCTTATAGACATATCATCTAGGACAGTGATGGGAGTTTTTTGGGGGCGAAGGTGCAGTGCCTCTTAAATGGGGCTGGAGGGTGGGACAGGTTTATCAAAATCTCTGTAGCTAGGGTCTATATACACACATATATGTGTATATATACTGAATCTATATTATTTAGGATACACTCTATTGTTTTTTTCATATAATATTACATAAAGTAGAATCTTCTTAGCAGGTGGGGACATCTGTCTACAAGATGTATTTATTTGGCTTGGCCGTGTTGAAGGATCGTGGTGGGACATGAGAATTTCATGTATATCAAAAGGCTCTGTGGTTTAAAAAAGGTTGAGAAAACCTTATGCAATCAACACCAAATGGATGAATTTCTCTGTTTTGAAGGCTGAGAGATCTACTCTCTAAGGGTACAGGTGTGATTAGGCTCTGAGAGATAGACTTATAAAGACCAAAATGTAAATGAGATTGAAGTGTAAACCAGAATGACAGAGAATTCATCAAAACTCAGAATTATAACTGTTCCATGGTCTGGTGGTCTGAATTCCCAAGATTGGTCCATTCTGCCTCTGTAGTTAATCTGCTTTAGAAGCTAAATTGTGATCAGAAAGCTTCTGTTGATTTTCTCTGAGGGAGCACTGACAAAGGTACCAAAATTACTTCATGACTCAGTGCTCTGCACATTGTAAGTAGGCTTGTGTGACTTGGCAAGCATGGATTTAGACCAAAGAGAGTTAGATGAGTCAAATGCTAAATGTCATAAGACTAAGATAATCTGATTCATCCATTTCAAGATAGAGATGATCCCATGAGTGGGACTGAAAATACTTATAGTCCGTTAGCCACAGCACCCCACATTCATCTCCATACTTGGAACAGCCTTACGAGTGGGACTTGCAAGACCAAGTCTCATGACACAGGCCCCTCACCATGGTGGGTGCTTAGACGGGCACAGTCAATGCTTTTCTTTGTATTCTTTTTCTGTTTCCTTGGCTGTCCAATCTCTCTTCTGACTGAAAAATTCTTCCTTTCACCATATTAAAACACAAAGAGGCTACCTCTTGGGTCTTATTACCTGGAAGCTAGCGACCTGGCATGTCTATGCAGTGTTCAGCAAGGAGGTTAACTGTCTGAGGTTAATTGTGCAAGGCTGGTTCCTAGTCGTTAGTGGCACCTTGAGGAACGCCTAAGCACTGCTAACAGCTACCCTCCCACTCTAACATTCAATGATTCTAAGGCCAGACATTTCTCCAGGCAGTGAGGAGAAGGGCGTGGAGTTTCTGGTGCCCAAAGCATTAAACTTTAAGGTAAAGAGACTCAAGCCTAGAGAATCCCGTGTGGGTTCTATAAACCATTCACCTGAGGGTTCTACTTTACCAAAAAGAAAAGTTTTTTTGAGCTGCATAGTTACATCACAGAGACTCTTCTTGGAGGCGGATGGTGAGAAGTGAGGCAATTTTCCTTGAGAGTCTCTACAGTCCATTTAGAAACAGCAGCACAAAAATCTTATGATCATCTCCCCCGTGCCAGCCTGAAATGTCAGCCCGTGGGAAGCTGATAGGTCTTCCTGCTATCAGCGGAAGCAGCACTTCTACATTCGTATCTTTCAGAGTACTTTATTCACTATACATCCTATGTAAACTGTTGGATTTGACAAGGAGGAGTTGTCAAAGGCAGACTACTGGGAAGGGGTTATGTTGAGTTGAATTTGGCACCAATCTCTCATACTTGACAGCTCAAGTACAAGATTGTGGATGAGCTATAGGACCTATGAGCCTCCTCAGTCAGCAAGCGCGGGCCCTAAGTCACATTTAATTCGGAAAGCCCTGACAGCCCTGAATAAAATGGGAGCAGTAAAATGGAGAGATAGGAGAAGTATGCAAGAGTAGACCATTTAAGTTGTTGCCTTTCACTGAAGTTTTGGAAAATATGAACCAAGACAATATAGACTATGATACCCTATGATGGGATCTGCATTAGCAATTTAAAGAAAATAATCCAAATTTCAAGCCAGGGTGACATGGTTTTTAATAGCTAAAATCTAGGAGGGGAAACAGTAGAGAGTTAGAAGCTGCCTAAAATTCTTCATCCTTTAGCCTAAATTATACATACCTATAACTATATTTCTATATAAACAAAATCACCTAAAATGGAGAGAAAAGTAAAGGATTGCAGTATTTTTGTAATGT